TCCATGGTTAAAAGCAATGGCTGCTCTTCCAGAGGACCTGGATTCAACCTCTAGCACTTACACAGACAGTGGCTCACAATGGTCTGTAGCTCCAACCCCAGGGGATCTGATGCACATTTCTGACCTTCTAGGGCACCAAGCAGCACACATATACACAGACATACATGGAGACAAAACACCCATACACATTAAAACAAACAACAAACAAACAATAAAAGATAAGTGTCATGTGTAAGATTTAAGAAGCCTCTCATAAAGGAGAGAATACATTTTTTCCCTCTGTGTCCTTTCTCATGGTTTAATGAGCGTAGGATATCTGAAACTGGAGCAGCCATACTGCATTAAGAGCTGAGGTGTTAAGAATGGTGGAGCAGCAAGGACATGAATCCTGAAAACCTCAGAACCATTCTCCCACTCCTGGGCTAGCTTTTTGTGCTTCTTTGCCAAGAGGAAAAAAATAACTTCTATCTCGTTTAAACTATTAGTTTCATTTTCCTGTCACATGTAACCAAGCATAATTCTGATTAAATAAAAAGCATGCAGGATTTAGACACAAAGACTTGGACAAGCTGGGCCGCTGTGGCGCACGCCTTTAATCTCAGCACTTGGGAGGCAGAGCCAGGCAGATCTCTGTGAGTTCAAGGCCAGCCTGGCCTACAGAGCGAGATCCAGGACAGGCACCAAAACTACACAGAGAAACCCTGTCTCAAAAAACAAAAACAGAAAAAAAACAAAAAAAAAAAAGACTTGGACAAGCAGGTTTTGTCTGAGGATGGAGAGGAAGCATCAATAAGAGAATGGGCAGTGTAGGCAAGAAGGGGACTTCTGGGAGATGAAGCAAGAGAATGTGATGAACAGCAGGCTAGTGAGCTTGGACTTCACCCTGTGACAGATAATGGGGGCAGATAAACTTACTCCCAGCCAGGACTGTCCAAGGTCATCCCCATAACATCCACCTCTAGGCAGCCTCTGAGAGAACATGCAGTGGAATGAACTGGAGGTTTTACTCTGAAACATTCTGTGTTAACAGTTCTCTTCCTTTTCCACCATGCACAAAAACACCAGGACTTTTTTTTTTTTTAAATTTTGTATTTTGGGGTTTTTATTTGTTTTTGAGATAAGGTCTCTACATAGCTCTGGCTGTTTTGGAACTTACTCTGTAGACCAGGCTGGCCTTAAACCCACAGAGATCCACCTGCCTCTGCCTCCAGAGTACTGAATTGAAGGTGTACGCTACCATGCCTGGCCCATATCTTTTTAAAAAAGAATTATTTTTAAGTTAGTGTGTTTTGTCTGCATGTATGTCTGTATACTACTCACATGCCCACAGGTCAGAAGAGGACACTGATCCTCTGAAACTGAAGTCACAGGTGGTTGAGAGCCACCTCTCCGGCCTGGCCAGGTGTTCTTTAAACACAGTATTTCAGTTCTACTTCAGCTGAGTTCTACTTCAGCTAGTCTTTCTAAGACACTTCATTTACTTTTATTGAAACAACCTCTAGAAAACTTGCTACTGGCATCTTAAAACAAACAAATAAACCAAAGCCACAGCACACACATATGCATTATGTATTTAGTTTTGTTCATATTTTTTTTTTTTTTTTTTTTTTGGTTTTTCGAGACAGGGTTTCTCTGTGTAGCTTTGCGCCTTTCCTGGAACTCACTTGCTGGCCCAGGCTGGCCTCGAACTCACAGAGATCCGCCGGCCTCTGCCTCCCGAGTGCTGGGATTAAAGGCGTGCGCCACCACCGCCCGGCTTGTTCATATTTTTAAAGTGGGCCAAAGTTAAGGTTTTTATGCTATATCACCATGGGCTTTATTATACTGGACAGCTTCTGCTTCCAGACTGCTGGGATTATTAGGTGTGATCCACTATGCCTAGCTAGAACTAATTTTAAAACGTTAAGTTATCTTAGTTCTAGATAGTTAATACCTCATAGCTTATATTAAAAAGGAGAACTTAGTCATCACATGGCCTATGGGATAATTAACCTTTAACAGCTGCTACCATTTCTCAATATATTTAGTTTCAACACAATACCAGCTACAATGAATAGTTTATAGATAGGCTGTGTTTCTGTTTAAGACTGATACGAATTGAGAGACAGATAATCTGTGTTCTTAATGCTCACACATATTTAATTAATGTCGCAGTTAAAAACAGGTGCCTATCTGATTTCCTTCTCTTTTTAAAATTTTGCTTTCTAATTTTATTTCCACTGGTCTCTTAACATGAGTGTATACCATTCATAAGGGGTAGAAGGTGACCTTGCCCTATTCCTTGCAAGGTCCAGCTATCTTCAACTTTTATAAGACAACAAGCTGCCATAAAATCTTATAAGTATTTTTAACTGAATACTTTGACTATAATTGAAAGGTCAATTGGGAACAGAGACAATAATCAACTTTTTAGGTCATGTAACTGTTCTTCCAAATAGAAGAAACAGGTGATTTGGCTCATAAGAACACAGAAGTGACTCTGCACATTTTCCTCCTGTTTAAGGATACTGTTCATGCCTCAGGCACTTAAAATCTACAGCCAATCTTCAATTCAAAAAGGGACACTATATTCCTGACACCCTCTAATTTATATTAATGACATTAGCTAGAAACAAAAAGATCTAAAAAAAAATGCTTAAAGAGAAAAAAATCATAAAGACAAAACATTACAGTTATCATTGGTATTAGATATTGTATTAGGCTATTTTAATCAAAAGTATTTATACTCTAGAAATCAATACTTCAAACTTTGGTAACATACTAACAAATCTTGTCACCCAAAATTATTTTAGTCAGATGAAGTGGCAGCAGGACTGTAATCCTTGAACTTGGGAGGCTTAAGGCCAGAGGAGTACTTCAAGTCAAAGGTCAGCCAGGGCTACAGAGTGAGCCCCTGCGGGAAAAATCATTAAACAAGGGCCAGCAAGGTGGCTCAGGTTCAATCCTGGAACTCTCACAGTAGGAGGAGAAAATCGACTCCTGTAGGCTGTTCTCTGACCTCTACACAAATATCCCCAACATCAAAACAAAACAAAACAAAACAAAACAAAAAAAACCTACCACACCATTGTGTATCAAATTAAAACCAAGATTGATTTCAGTGTGTAAGACAAGATAGACATGGGCTTTGAGTTCCTAAATCCTAAGCAATTATGAACACATCAAAGTTTACAATATGAATAGGTAATATACAAGATTACTACTAAGACTGTAATCCTTAAACTGTATGCATTTTCTTTTTCTTTCTTTCTTTTTTTTTTTTGGCTTCAAAAATCCCTTGCTCAGCTGGGCCTCATGGCACAGGCCTGCAACTTGAGCCACTAGGTGTCTGAGCCTAGAGAATCACCAAATTGAAGGCCTGCCTGGGCAATTTAATGAAATCACCTCAAAACTGAAAACAAGAAGGCTAGGCCAGCACAGCAACAGAGCAAATAGTGTCAGGGTCATCCCTTCCAGCTAGCCTGAGCTACACCAGCTCTTGTCCCAGAAAGACAAAATAGGGGCTGGGTGGCTAGTCAGTCAGTACAGTGCTCGCTGTGAACACACAGAGTCTCTCTTTCTCTCACTGGCTGGTCTCAGAAAAACAGAAGGAGACCCCAGGAATAGAGCTCAGTGGTCAAGCCCTTGCCTAGGCTACCCCAGAGACCCTCCTGCAGAAAGAAAAAAGGACAGACGGAAGGGAGGGAGAAGAAATCTTCCTTGCAAAGTATCATACAGCCGAACAACATGGTACTTTTATTATCTTTGTTCTCTTTTTTTTCATCTGTTAATTTACAAGTACTCTCAGAACAGAACTACTGTAATGGAAGAAATAACAGAAAAAGTCAACACGATTAGGAACATATGGAATGGGCACAGAGCACTCATCTACAGGGCAACATTCAGTATAAGGCCCAAGAAAGTTTAAACATTATACCAAATCTCATTTACAGTAAAGCAGTTTGTTATTAATTATCAATTAATTTGAGACAGGGTCTCATTATGTAGCTCCAGCTGGCCGGGTACTCACAGACATCTGCCTGCTTTTTTTGCCTGAGAGCTGGGATTAAAGGCGCAGTTTGATTGTTAAGAAAAATTGCTGGGAACTCTTCATAAACAATTTAAGAAAGGAGACCAAGGACTCTTCTCCTTTCTTAGTTAAACTGACTCCAAGTACCCAGGAAGGCAGGGCATCAGAATAATTAATTATAATGGAATGGGCAGGCAATAGCCCCGATAAACATAGAGGCCTTGTATTCCTCGACGGATTGCTAGCTCATTTCCCTTCACCGGAGAAATACAAATGAGCTGACAAAAATATCCCCATGTCTCGAGAAGTATCTGATTAAATTAGTGAAAATGTGTAACGCTCCAATTCTCGAATTTTAGTCAAGTACCACATGCAAACCCCACCAGCTGGCATTTCTGAGCACAAGCCGAGCTGGGTTTACAGTTTCCCGTTTGGGCCTCACGGCCGTCGTAGGAAGTGGGCACTAGGACCGGGACTTAACCAACGGGGAAACCGAAGCCCAAAGGGTTTAGGCACAGATCCTGGGGTCACACGGCTCACAATCCTAACCTAGAGATCTGCATCGCTCCCCGCAGCCCCCCGAATGGAGACACCGCTTTGGGAGTTACCTGCAAGCTTACAAGTGGTCGGAGCGCTTCCGGGGGGAGCGCGCGCGCGGGGGTGGGGGGGGAATACAACGTCCCAAGCAAACAAAAGCTCACTATAAAACTTGGGTTCCTGGCACAGGCCCGAGTCCTGGCTCCCTCGTATACTCAGGTGACACACCGAGGCACCGGAGAGGAACGTTAGCTGTCCAAGCCGCCTAGGGGGCTGGGGGGGGGGAGCGGTTGCGGGAGGAGCCGACCGCCTCGTGTGGTGTGGCCGGGCAGCGGCCGGCGGAGGGCTCCTTCAGGCCGGCCTCGCTCGGGCCGCGCTCCCGCGGGCCCGCCAGCCACGGCTCCAGCCACACCTGGCTCCCCGCAGACCCGCCGGGCCAGCCCGGCACGCTCACCTTTTGCTCCTCCGCCGACGCTGCTTCAGGGACTTCCGCGGACATGGTGCTCCTTCTGCAGAAGAGACGCCGGGAAAAGACCGATTACCGGGGTGGCCAGGCCGCCCGCTGCCCTCTGCCTGCCCCGCCGCTCGCCGGGCTGGCGGCTGCCGCCTTGTGACGACACGGGCCCCGGGAGCCCGCAGCCCAGGCCCGCCAGACTCCCGCGCCGCACCCTTACCTACCTATCCCCGCGCCTCCGGCCCTGCGACGCCCAAGCACTTCCTTTTTCCCTCAAAGGTTGCGGCTCGCGCCTCACCTCACTTCCGTCCATGGGCGCCCGGTGCTTCCTGGGAATTGTAGTTTACCTGTGGCTCTGTCTCTTTTTTCCCCCCGCCTTTCCAGACTGCTCTGACCTCCCACTCACCCATTGGCTTGCTCTGTGCTCTGAAGTAGCTCAACTTCAGCTTAACCCCATCCACCATCACTTCTTCATTCCTCCACCTTGTCTCAGCACGATCTTATTTTCTTAGCTCAACCTCTTCAAAGCTATCACTGCTCTGGAGAGTTCCATAATGAGCACAGCATCATTAGACAGAAATTGTGATTACTTTGGTAATGTCACCTTCCCTCTTCATATTAGCCACACTAGGGAAGAGGCCAATATTTCACTCTGAGACCCTCCCAGACCTTGGTATTTCCTGTGTAATAAATAACCGATGAATGGATTCAGCTTCCATTCCTCGTTCTTACACGGCAGTCAGCTCCAAACATTGAGCTCCATAATGACTTTCTTAATTGCCAAGTCCCGTGACTTCATATCTACTCGTCTTTCTACTAAGCATCTTATACCTGCTGGCACATCTGGTTCCAATGAAATGTCCCTCAGACATCTTGGAATAAGGTGGCCTTATACGTTCAGCTAGTAGGAATTGGAAGGTAATGAATGCAGTTCTGGAGGGCAGGAGAACAATCAAAAGATCCTAATTGGATATGGAATTTGGAAGCCATCAAAACCGAAGCTGGACCCTGTGGTATAGGACTGTAATCCCAGATGTCTGGGAGGTTGAGGCAGAAGGATGGCAAATTTATGCCTGCCTAGGCTATAGAGTAAATAAAAGGCCACCCTGGGCAATTTAATGAGGCCCTAGATCAAAAGTAGGGCATGTAGCTCCTCAATGGTAGAGGGTTTGCATAGCATGTGCAAATCCCTGCATTCTGATCTCTCCAGCACCAGAACAACACACACACACACACACACACACACACACACACACACACACACACACACACGAGAGAGAGAGAGAGAGAGAGAGAGAGAGAGAGAGAGAGAGAGAGAGAGAGAAAGGAACTTAGCTCAGTAGTAGATGGATCATTTGCCTGGAATGGGTTTGACTTCCAGCACCTCATAAAACCAGTGTGGTGGTGCATGCCTGTAGTCCTAGCACCTGAGAGGTAGAGGCACAAAGATCAAGAAGTTCTAAGTTATCCTCAGCTTGAGCATGAGGCTAGCTTGGGCTATATGAGGCTCTGTCACTTAAATAAAAGAAAACAAGACAAGTACATAAAAGACAAGCAAACAAAAAGCCTCAACAAGATGTAGAATCTCAGACCTGAAGATTTACTGAGACCTCAGTTTGCAAAACAAAAGGAGTCTTAATCCTGAGTTCCCTTCCAAGGAAAGGTTAGTCAGCCTTAGTCACTTAACCAAGTGCCTGTTTAAGATAAAAGGGCTTAAAAGGCTAACCCTTGGACAAAGATATCCCCTGAGAATGGCTCAGTTGGTTCACAAATCAACTGTAGTGCACACCTAGAATCCCAGAACTTTGCAAGTGGAGAGAGGAAGAGCATCAGTCCAAGGCCAGTCTTAGCTAGCTACGAGTGAGTTCAAGTTCAGTCTACACAACATGGTGTTTCCAAAACCAAAACTGCACAAAAAGAACAAAAACAACAACTGTGTATTTGTTATCATTCTATACTGGCAAAGGAACCTTCTGCTATTTGCCCCCCACCCCCATTCTGGGTTTTTGTTTTGTTTTGTTTTTTGACAGAGTCTCTCTATGTATTCCTAGCTGTTCTAGAACTCACAGAAATCTGCCTTCCTACATGTGCCACACCTGGCTTCGTTAGTTTGAGATAGGGTCTCACTCTAGCCCATGCTGGCTTGGAACTCACAGCAAACCTCTTGCTGTAGTCTCAGTGCCCTTCATTTGAGTAGAGCTGTAGACTGAAGGAAAAATGTACTAGTCAGGCGAATGGATGCATCTAACTAGTGTTTTTATTAATCAAATACAATCCACACACACACTTGTAAACTTCAGTAGATTTTTGGGTTAAGATGTGACAAGGCACACAGAAAAAATGGTATTTGTGACCTTAAAAAGAATCTGTCCCACCAGGCAGTAGTGGTGCACACCTTTAATCCCAGTACTCGGGAGGCAGAGGAAGGAGATCTCTGTAAGTTAGAGGCTAGCCTGGTCTACAGAGTAAGTTCCAAGACAGCCAGGGCAACACAGAGAAACCCTGTCTCCAAAAAAAGTCCCTACAATGAAAAAAAGCATCTATGTAAAAATGACAAATGGTAATCCACTATACCAAAAGTTGGCTTCTAAACATCACTGACTCCTAATGATACCATGCCTGCCTACACATTTTTCTATAACTCTGTTGTACAACTAAATGCATTAACAAAACTGCAAGTTTCAGCACACACACACACACACACACACACACACACACACACACAGAGACAGAGGACAGATATGGGGGAGATGAAGACAGAGACTATAAATATATATCTGGTCCTAAAAGATAGATAGTAGCATTCATGTCAGAAAAATCTGAATTTCTGGGAGACAGGGTGACCAAATAAAAAAATTCCTCAGAGGCAATGTCCTGGAACTGTCTAAGAAGCCATCCTTCCCCAAGTAATACTGTCAACAGGATCACCAGCCATAAAGCCTGGCTCTGGTCCCAATGCAATGCTCACCCACATTAGGAGAAAAGAAGAGTTAGATGTGGTGGTACACACCTGTAATCTCAATACATGGGAAGTAGGGGCAGTCAGAGCAGGAATTCAAGGCTATCCTGAGCTACACAGTAAGTTTGAGCCAGCTTGGGTTACACGAGACCCATCTCTAAAGAAAGAAAAAGTCTTCATCTGTCTGTCTTACCCATATCAGTGTTCCAACATAGGAAGATGAAATAGAAGCCAGGATATACACATATGCAGATTTAGCCCTATGTTCAAGATACCAGAACTGGGAGCTAGAAGGGCCAGGGTTTGGGGCAGGCCATTCTCACTCCCAGTGTGTTATATTCTGTAGGAAGCTGGAGCTGCAAAAAGCAACTTTTGACAAATCTTAATTCCCAGGGCCTGTTAGAACATGATTCTGTACCATCATTACTCATGTACTTTAATCTTTAAAACTGCACATTGATCCCCAATACTCCACCCCTCAGAATACTCTTTTGACCTCTAAATATTGGCCACTCCTCTTCCTCCTCCTCTTCCCCCTCCTCTTCCTTTCTCCTCCTCTTCCTCCTCCTCCTCCTCCTCCTCCTCCTCCTCCTCCTCCTCCTCCACTTTTTGTTTGTTTTAAAGATGGGGACTTACTATGCAGCCAAACAGGCTAGCCTTAGATTTGCTGCAAAGCTCAGTCTGGCCTCAAATTAAATGATTCTCCCTCTTCTGGTTGATGCCTGATGTAACCAGAATCTCAAGTCAGCTGTTTGCCCCTTTTTATCAAGAAACAAAGAGAAAACCAAGAAATGGCGATTGTTTAAAGGAAATACGGTTTTGTTTCTGCTGTTGGGTGCTTTTCACTTTTCAGTTTGGGCCAAAACTGATCGAGAAAAATCCTCAGTTTCTCTCCACCTGGACTGTAGCTACCTACAAGTTATGGAATTCATGAAACACAACTCAAGGAATTTGCACGTGTAGCTATAGCTAAACATGGTTGAAATCTTAGTTTGGGAAACCTTGGGGTTTAGGAATTTGGGCTACTCTGGTTCCCAGCACTGGATTTCCTGATACGTTTTTCTTCTCTATGGTCCCTGTATGTGCCATTGCCCTATCACAGCTATGAGCTACCATTCCTGGCTCTGTCCTGTCCTTTGTTGAGATGAATGGTCTCACTCTATGGTTCAGGTTGGTCTTGAACTCATGAATTTCCTGGGTTCAACCTTCATCTTACATGATTTTTGACAAAGAGTCTATATAACTCAGGCTAGCCTCCAACTTGCTACGGAGCTACAGCTAGACTTGAATTCATGGTCCTCCTGCTTCAGGCTTTGGAAGTCTGGATTACATGAGCCACTATGCCTGCCTTTTTACCTGGCCCTTTATCCGGCTCTTCATTTGTTTGTTTTTTGTCTTGAGACAGACTCATTGTGTAGTCTATATTGAGCCCTAATCCATAAGTCTTCTGTCTTGGTCTCCCAAATGTTGGGATGACAGGCCTGTACCACTACACCTGGCTTTACCTACCTCTTAACAAGAGGATTTTGGAGTTAGTGGGATGGTTTAGTAGGTAAGGCACTTGCCCCCAAGCCTAACAACTTGATTGTGATGTCTTCCTTGAATCCCACTCTCTCTAGTTTTACCCTCTTCCTGAGATCACTTCCGTCCTTGTAGCCTGAGCTGCCCTCAATCCAGAATAGGGCTGTTCCATAGTACTTTCTGTGATGATGTGGGCTGTCTACATTTGTGCTATCTAACACAGTGGCTACTAATCATATAGTGCTAAATGCCAGTGAGCATTTAATGTGGCTAGTGCAAGGAACTGAATGCTTAACGAATTAGCCATAGAGATTAGGAACATCCACATACTTTTGACAGAGATTCTTACAATTAGGTTCAGTCCAAGAACTGATGCTAATCGAAGCTGCCTCCAGTGGTTCTGATGTGAATGTGCACACAATAGTTGGGATTTAGTAAGCATGTAAAAGCTTTAAAAGGTCAGAAGATCAGAATTTTCTTTTCTTCCCTCCCTTTGTTTTTGAGACACACATGTAGCACAGGTTGGCCTCAAACACCATGAATCAGGAATAAACCTTGAACTCCTGATCCTCCTGCTTCTGCCTCCCTTGTGTTGGGATTACAACGTGTACCATGCTTGCCTGGTTCACACTGTGCTGTGGGTTGAACCCAGGGCTTGGTGCATGTCAGACAAGCACTCCATGACTGATCTATAGTTCATTGAAGGAGAGAATGGATTTTTTTTTTGTTTTTGTTTTTTTGTTTTTCGAGACAGGGTTTCTCTGTGTAGCTTTGCGCCTTTCCTGGAACTCGCTTTGGAGACCAGACTGGCCTCGAACTCACAGAGATCCGCCTGGCTC